AAAACTTCCGTTTATTGTTGACAGAGGTTTTCCAAAATGCTGGAGATCCTCCTTTTCTCATAAGTAACACAGGGATCCCAACCTGAAAAAAGTATTTTCATGGAGGTGCCCTTCTAATTTCAGGGAGGTGCCCATTCGGGGGGGGGGGGGGGGAGAGCACCCCCCTGAAATGATGGCAGATAGCAAAGAAGTTAATGCTTCCCGTGCTATCTGCTGGTTTTTTGGGGTTTTTTTTAGTATTCCGACAGCTTCTGCCCCCAATAAATAAAAAACCTGCATAGAAACTAATAGCTAGATTGCTATTGGCTATTTGAGGTTACAATAGCCAATAGCGAGCTGCCGATTGCCCCCGCACTCTGCTGCTGTCAATCAGCAGAGATAGGACCTGACGGAGAACTTCAGGTCCACTTCTGCTGATTGACAGCAGCAGAGGGCGGGGGCAATAGCTAGTCTGCTCTTGGCTATTGCAAATCCAAATAGCCAATAGCAATCTAGCTATTCATTTCTAGGCCCTCTTTTATTTTTACTCTGATGGCGGCCTGGCGGCTCCGATATCAGAGTTAAAAAAAAAAAAAACATATAATAGTAACTAGGGGTATACTTGAATTTGACCCCTGTGACTAGATTTAGTTGCATGAGTGGCGACAGTATCCATATTTGTACACTTTCTATCTGGTGGAGAACACATGCAGAAAGATAATTATTACCCATAGCTATGTTCCAAGAGAGTGTATAGGGTTAAGGACATATTTTTTTGATTTAAAAATTACGTTTGTTTGCACAATATTCTAAAAACATGTTGCTACTACTAGGTAAATGTGAAAGATTTGCAATAAATATTTTTTTCATTGCATTTACTGTCAAAAAAAAACCCAGAAAGCAGGGAAAGGTTTACGCTGCTAGATCGAGCAAAGTAAACCTTTCTGGGAGAAAATGTTTCTCTGCCGGGTGGCTGGGAGCCGCTATCTGATAGCGGGAGACTCCCGGAACCTCTGGGAGAGTTGGGATGTCTGGTAACAATCCTTTTTGCACATGTTTGCTGCAAGGATCGCACGGTTAAGGGACACGAGACAAAGCAAGACCGCCATTGGTGATGGAGGATGTGCAACTCCCTCACCAACCCAGGTACACTCTGAAGGTGACCGTGTGCAGCC